AGCTGGCTCTTCTGGAGTTTTGTCAAATTCTCTCGAAACCTAGAAAATACTGCCATGTTTTACTGGTCAGGAACACTGTGGACTCCTTAAAAAAAATGCTCTTCTTGCTGCTTCCTGCCTCAAACAAATCAGTTTTTGTTCGAAAAAGCTTCTTTTTTTTCTCCTTTCCACTGAACCAGACTGGTAAAGGAAGCCCTCAAATATGTTTGCGAGTTTGCACGCAGAACCTCGACACGGCCTCCAAATGTCTAACAGATGTGAAGACAAACAGATTTAATTGGAGCTGATTGTCTGCTGCGTGTTTGCCTGCCCGGTGAGGTCCAAACCACTGAGGCGAGCAGGAACAGGGGGTCAACGAGGGCACCCCGGCCCACTTTTGGACCCGGGCCACATAAGGACAGCCTTCCCAAAGACTTAAAGCTAAAACGGTCCCACTGGAGAAGAAGGGGAGCGAAGGCAAACATCTTTCAAACTCGGTTTCAGCTATCTAATTTTGCATAGAAGCCATAAATCTCTCATAAGTCACTAGAAATACACACTTCTCTCTCACAGAGGGAAAAGTATGTCCTGACTTTTGTCTGGAAAAGTGCTCAGGAGGGGGAGTTTTCTTGACTGGTTTAATTTTTTTCTCCTTTTTCTCCCTGCAGGAGCCTCCAGCGTGGTCGTAGGACACCCGCTGGACACAGTGAAGGTATTTCAGACCTGGGGGATGATGGTACCTCTGTTTTAGATCTATGACAAAGCTGTCGTGGATCCATAAACGGACCCCGACCCAAAGCCCGACTTTGCCAAAGCAGAGCTGGTTTGTTCTGACTGGAAAACCAGATTTTTTTAGAATTCAGATCACTGTTTGTGTCAACCCCCTGCACTTCAAATATCGATCCAATTAGAATAAAGGTCACAATCCAGTCCATTCCAGTTCAGAAATGTCCAAAATAATCCAATCCATATGGAGCCATTTAAAGGGAAAGTTTCCTCCTTCCTGAACCCAGACTGGTTCCACAGAGAGGGGCCTGATAACTGAAGGCCCTGACTCTCATTTTGCTTTAAAAACTCAGGAACCACAAACCAACAGGGCCTCATA